CCATGTCTTTGGAGCCCGGGTCCATGACCGAGATCTGTGCAAACAGGCCATGAACCAACATTTTCGGATCAAGACCTGCCTACTAAGGGGGATGCTAAATAGCAAGTAAAGCCAGATGCCTCGATAAAGGCAGACTAGAGCAAGTGGCGAAGTTCAAACACTTGTATATAGTAGTTCCGAGCCCACTGCACTCAACATCTATGCTGGGTACAAGCCAATATAGGGTGCACCTACCTGTTGCCAGTTAAATAGCCATGATGGGGCTCCCTGTGCAAATTAAATTACAAGCACAGGAACATTGTATAAAGCATTATCATTGCACTCATTGCAATTTGAAGCCTACGATGTCTCTTTTCCACAGCCCATCTCTCGCACCCTCTCCTCTGCCCCTTCCCCCCGCAAAAAGAAGTGAGCAAACTCAGACCACGCGGGAGGCCCCCAGCCCTAGCATACCCTTCTGGATCCATTGATTTGGGATGATTTGGGTTGCCTGACTCGTTGCTAGCTTGCGTTTTCAACACCCTCAAAGAACATTCAACATCTCGCCAAATAGTTTGTCTAAAGGAAGCTTGTCTTACAGTTGCTTGACCGTCTATTGTAAGTTAAGAACTCGATCAATGAAACAAACAAAGCCCCGGAGATTGAAGGAGCAATGCCTCAACGGGCTGCCCCAAGAGCTTGGTGCCACTCATCTGATGCGCCTCAAGAAAATTAATCAGATGCGGCTTCCACAAATTCAGGGAACGTTCCGTCAACCTTAAACCACACAGCCTCCAGAACTCCCTTGGATGTTGCGAAGTCGAGCTGTGCAAAGAATTCTGTTGTCCTCGTGCAGTAAAGACTGCCGCGTAAACGGTGCGGCTTTCTGCTGGAACCTTTTATTGGCTTCTTGACTTCTGGTTCGCTCGATTCCAAAACATTCCACATCATCCAGTCCTCCCCTGAAAGGATCTGAACAAAACCTACAGGAGCAGTTGAGTCTCTGCGTTCAGTTCAGTCTGTCATGCAAACAGCTGCATCCCATTTGCATCTCACAATCTCATGCCACTCTTTACCTCCTTACACACACACCCAGCCACGGTGTTGGAAGCACATGTTTTGTCTGTCATTGCGAAAAGCGATCAATTCTTTTTTTAACTCCTTTCCTGGAAACAAGACCAAAGTTCCAGGCTCTCTCGATTGCATCGCAGGTCCTTGGTGGCTGGGCACTGGTGCAAATATTGCCGACGTGTATTGAAATGTGCTTTTAAAAGCCTGGGGGTGTATGCTGCTAAAAGGAGGCTAACAAGTAGGTAAGCTATTAGATGCTATTGGTAAGCAGCTTCATAGGCTTGGACGCAGAAGGGCTCAGGCTTCTTTGAGGAAGCCTGGGCCTTCATGAAATGGCTCCTCGATTTTTTGAAGTTTGTATAAGTGGTGCGCCATGGTGCGTCTGCGTTCCACTGGAGCAATGGGCACGCGGCACTGTGCGCAGCTGTACGTAGTTTATGTCAAGATTGAGTTATACATCACATTGCAAGCTTCTCAGACTTCTCGGGCTTCTGTCCAAGTCTCGCAAAGGTTTCTCGGATGACATCCTCAGTGACTTGAGGGCCTCGGTGAGAAGGGGCTGATATTCAGTATACACCCAACGTTTCTGAAGGTTTATCTGACCAACGATCGTTTCAACACGCTAAGGTGGGAACTCAAATTCCTGATGTAGACAGAATTTCGCGCCTAATAGGGTCCAAGTCTCGACTTAGAACCGAATGGGTGACATTGGCACAAGGATCACTTTGGCAGGAGCAAGAAAAACTTAAGCAGAGCAACTTAACTAAACCGAAGATGTCCACCTGGCTTGATGGATTGACTTGTTGTTGTCTGGATCTCCTGGGGTCCCCGGCTGCAAATGCCATAGGCTCGAAATGCACTGATGGCAGCAGCTAAACTAAACGCTCGTGGTGGTGAGGGCCATATGATATCTCGGTGTCCTGATGATGTGTGGCTGGCATGGTGACCTTTTCGGATTGTTCAGAGGGCCTTGCGCAAGCCTCGTTATATGCGAATTGTGTCGAATGATTTTTGCCAATCAGCCAAAATGGAAAAATAACATCATATACTAAATTGTATATATATATATATGTGTGTGTGACATATGACATATATGTGATTATGTGTCTGTGTGTGTGTGTGCGATTGTGCGTGTGTGCCTACATTGTTTGACCTGTCTTGATTGTGTTTTCCCCGTGGACCATCTTTCATCAGTGATATTTGATACCAGAAGACTCGTGTCCCAAGCATCACTGCTCCTGCAAGACTACTCACATCTATTCACGCAATGCTTCATGCATGCATGCATTGCACGTTCTGCCAATAAGAGCTGGGAAGCGGCGGAATCGTCACACATTCACAACAGTGCTGCCCGACTACCAACCAGTTTCCCAGCTTCAAGTTGTACTTTGGTAGTTTCGCTTCATCAGCTTCACAAGACTTTTGCGAGACGCAAGCCAGCTTGCATGTCATCCACCGGTAGCCAAGAAATAGAAAGCGATGATCAACATCACCAGCATCAAACCAGCAATGAAGCAAACCATTTTGCGATTCTGGTCTGCCCTCTGGAGCATTCCCTCTAACGTTTTCCCAGCCATGCTGTAGTTCTGCCCAGCTTTCCCCATGTTGTCACGGCTTCTGACAATCACCTCACGCTGAAGTCGTAAATCACCCATGACATCAATACCAATCTGCTCGGAGTCCAGCACCGTGCGCTTTGCCTCAGCCAGCTTTCGTGAGGCCTCAAGCATGGACTCATTCATGTCCTCAGCTCTCCCGTGCTCGTCTGCGGTTTTCCCCACAACTTCTCCAAATAAAGCGCTTCGGTTAATGGCATCTTTCTCCTTCCGGCGCTCGGCTATCCGTTGTCTGTGGCTTTTTATCTTCTCTTGAAGCTTCTGCCGAGTCTCCGGTGGCATGGCTCGAGCTTCAAGCTCCATCTGTTTCAGGGCCTGCTCAGCCTCGACCAACCGGCGCTCAGCTGTGGCTAACTGCTTTGAGCGGCCACTGGATTCCGATTTAGCAGATTCGAGGAATTCATTTGCCTCGTGGCACAACCGTTCGAAGTCAGCCTCGTATTCTCCAAACAATTCCGAAACACTCACGCTCTGCGACATAGCCAGCTGCACCAAAAATATTTTGACAATACTCTTCCTGCGCCTCTTTGACAGCAAATTGGTTGGATTATGTTGGATTTGTTGCAACCTGATTACTGAGAAGTATCCAACATTAGCTGTCTTGTTGTCTTGTTCCATGCACATTATTTCGAAAGTAAAGACTTGTCGAGAACTGTCCCCCGGCTCAGGGTGCAAGTCGATGCATCTAAGAAAGTGTTCTGCCTATATACCGTGGCGCGTATGTTGCATTATGTTGTATTAATACAAATACAGGTACTAGAAACCAGCAACAGCAGCAAGTGTAAAAATGCACTCTTGCTAGCTCTGATGTGGAGAAGAAATAGCTTGAGCTGCACTTCCAAAGAAAGCCCCCTCATGCAGCCAACCGAGGCCTGAGGAGATCATATTCAGAAATACGTGTTTACGTGCTGACATGATTACAATTAATGCCCACTGACCCAAAGAATGAGGGTCTGCTGTAGTACAGGGGTCAGCTGAATGAAAGGTCAACAAACTTGGAATCAAGAATAAGCAGCTACAAGCGCTATAGGCTATAAGTCTCTTTTGGTTGCGATGGCGATCGGGAGAGCTACGCCCATCTTGTGGGGCCCTTCCAGACTATTTGGGCCAGAATTCCTATGACCATCCCAGCTGATGAGCAGTACAAATCAGCTGTACAATCAGCTGTGATTCCGATGGGTCACTCCTGACAACCAGCACCAATCAAAGCGCCATCTCACTGCTTTGCAGGAGAGAGAGCTGCTTTCAGCGGCCGCTGGCCGAAACAGGCACCGTTGGAGCCAAAGAATGAGGCAAAAAATGATGGCAACACTTCGCAATCATGAACAGTGTTTCTTCTCGCAGAGGACCGGCTTTCTCGCAGAACCCTTCGATTACACAGAGCCCGTGTGCTTTCGAATTCTGGCAGGTGGAATTTCAGGCAGGGCGCTCAGTATCAAGTCTCCTTGAAACGCCATCGCTCCCGCCATGAACGTTTTGCACCAATACTTGTGCAAATCCTTAAGTATTTAAGCCTCTGACTACGCCTGAGGGCACAATCGCAACGATCACGATGGCACCTGCGCGCTTGACGGGAAAAATGCCCCGCGGCCCTACAATCCCCGTGTTGACACTTTGTGCACGTGGCTTACGGCGCTGCCATTTTGCTAACCGTACCATCCTGAGACCTTCACTCCAGCGATTTAGCTTTCTGCGGTGACATTGGGTTTGTGTCTCTCAATAAACACTGAACACGAACAGGACAATAAATTAAGTAAGCAAAAACACATTAGCATGTCATACTTGAGAAATACTTGAGAAACTTGCAACCCAACCTGAGAACACGCTCTTTGGCCGTGTGAAACCACATGGGCACTCAAGCCAGGAGTGCAATGGAATCTAAGTGGGACAATCAGCAGCATTCCTTGCTACTACACGGTTCTTTCTAAAGGAGGTGGTGAGTTTGACAGGCACTTATTTGGGGTGTGAGGAAATCCGGGCCCGAAGCTTGCCAAGAAGCACTCTTGTCCGAAAGCCCCTACGTCTGCCATCCAGGTTATGTCAGGGAGGCTTGGTTTCTGAAGCCTCCAAGGTCTTGGCCTGGCAGGGTCAGGATTCTACCCAAGCAGGAGCGCAAACAAATCTTAGTGTGTCGCGCCAAAAAAATTCTGGACATCCTGTGGCCATGATTTGGCAGTCCAGCTTTCATCTGCTCGTGGTCATTCCGGTCTTGTGCATGATGCCATATGACCACGGAAATGCACAGGTGAGACTGCAGCTTCAGGGCTGCAAGGTGATGTTTTTTGTCTCCAACCAATTCTGCGAGTAGCGAGAATGCTGTCTTTTTGTGTGTTTCCCCTTCAACGACGAACTGCTCCTCAACAACAATGGACAATGGATAGTATCAAATCGTGAATTGCCTAAATGTCAGGAGGCATTCATGCAGCGAAACAGCTGCCCTCTGCACGTCCCGTACCTATCCCAGGAGACAAAACAATCTCAATGAAACAAGCCGTAGAAGCTCCGAACAGTCACGACAGGTCGCACCTGGAAATATCTGCAACGATCACGCCTGCAAATGTGAACCAAACATGGCCCTTAAGTGAAATGTCCTACGAAGTATATTGCAAACTCTCAAAGGCCACAAAAAGGCTTCCAAGAATCTGCAAGCTGGCCCACTGGCCGAAGTCGCCTCCTCTACTGGAAGGTATCCCAGCTGAGCCGTCCGGGGTGTCCGTCCCCGGGGCCAGGCACGTAGCACTGGGCAACAAGTATCAGGAAATATGAGGTAAGCAATGCAAGAAAAATGACAAAAGAATAAACAAATTATGGCAAAGTTGTCGCTGATGCTCGATGTTATTCTCTACAGCATCCACCGTTCGCTTAGATTCGCTTAGCAAGTTGGACCACTTGGGTCTTAGTCTGAGTTTTTCTCTGCTGTTGGCTCTTACCACGAGAGGTGTAACTGGCAGCACTGTCGTGTTCTCTGTCTTTCAGACCGGAGTGGACAAGCTTGTGCGTCGGTTGGCTACTCTAATGGGAAGCAGAGTGCCTGCGACAGTTGACGGTCAAGATGCTGACATTTTGCGGGCTCTATATAACAAACGAAAGTGCATGTTGGTTTGGTTCACCTGGCTCTTCATGCCACTGTTAGCCGTATGATGCCATTACCCTCTGGCAGGCTTAGTGTTTTTCGTAGCATGCATGAACGCAGGGCGAAATGAATGAAGTTGCCTGCGACAAGCTCTGATCAGCCTCTATCCTGCGAATGCTGAAGGCCAAGGCACCTAGAAGGATAGTGCTCAGGAAAACGCATCCAGCTACAAAGGACGTCACAATCTCTGCCATTTGATGTGACTCGAGGTCCTGAGCAGGTCAAAGTTGAAAACTGTGACTGTGTCATCCGGTGTCTCTGTAAAAATAATTGTGCGGGAGCGGGAACCCCCCGAGAATACAAAGGCGCGTGAAAAGCTTCAAAACGATCAACCGAGCCATCGCCAGCCCCACCTGCGCATGAGCCCGTAGTGTGCCAAACTTTGCCACCACGTTCCTTAGCAAACTATCCAAGTGTTGGTAAAAATGGTGTGCAGAAGTTGGCCTGCACAATCACAGCTGCTGGGTTTGACGATGAGCTTGTTCCTCTTGCGGCTGCAGTGTCGCTACATAATCAGGGAGCTCGTTCCGTGCTTGCGGCGTTAGCTCCAAGCGTCGACCTCAGTTTCAAGCAAAGTTTGAGTCACGAGCTGTGCCACTTTCCCGTGAGACCGTGATTTCGGCAATATTGCATTTACTGCAGTTCGTGATGGTCTCACAGTTTTGGAACTGTGATAGCAATAGCTGTGAGATGCTGTGAGCCCCTGACGTCTGCGTCGCTTCCCACCTTTTCCACAAGTCACAGTGCAGTCGCTCCACCTTAAGGGTCGAGCAAGCATGATTAAACGATTGAAGCTGCCTGATGTGCTCTTGTTTGTCAGCACAGTCAGAAAGACTGCACAAAACTGAATGTATATACAGTAAATAGTCCGGTTTTTGGGTTGATGGGTAAAAGACTTCCTTCTGCAAAGCCACTCACCCCAAACACTCCACTCGCAGAACTTCTCTCCCCGGCAGCGTCTCGGGCATCTCCCAATCTCCATCGTTCCTTTCGGTGCGCATTCCTTCCCACCTTAGTGAGACAGAGACAACATCAATGCCGCAGAGGTGGAATGCAAACACAAAGAAATGCAATTCTTGAGCGCAGCAATTCCTTGTTTTCGTGTTCTAATGAACTCTTTCCTCCCAGGCCATCCAAAACTACTGAGCATTCATGCCATTGGTAGGCCACGCGTCGATGGTCCTCCAATCAACAGACAAAGGAAAATGATGAAAAGGCGACAAATTTGGCCGTGCACTCCATGCAAAAACAGGTCTTGGTGTGCCTCACCCGGGATCGCTCGCCTCAGGTTCACAACAAGGCATGTGAGATAAGAGGATCTAGATACATTGAGGATCTGGAGGTTCTCCTCAATATGTCTGCGCAAACTTGTTCCTGTCCACACGTGCTGAAGCATGACATGCCAAGCGGCCGTTGCACTTGTCGCAGTCACCCCACTGCTTCCAACTTGAGTACGTGCAGTCCACAGGCTCTGGGCCACCACATGCGTGGCGGTTGCATTCCTGCGGGGCAATTTCTGTGACCAAGGTATGAAATGTTTGAAGCAGGTGTTGATTCTCCATCGTTTGAGCTCGGCCTTCATCTCCGCCAGACCACCGTCGCAGCTTTTCCCGCCGAACTTAGGATGTCTTAGGATCTTGCGCGTCCGTACATCCTGACCACCTGCACATCAATATGATAGGTCAGCGCTTCTTGCAGAATTACACAGTTTAGGATGCAAATCTTTTTAGCTGACCTGCACGGATGGGCAATTGCGAATTGAAAGCCTTGCCTCCGCAGCTTGCAGTACACTGGCTCCAAGGCATCCAGTCACTCATGACACAATCGACCTGAAAAAAGGACAAGTGTTCACTAACTTCAGCCGCCCAGCCCATAAACATTTCATGCAAACAGGTCTGAGAAAAAGTAACGTTAAAAAAACGAGGCGGAGTGCGAAGCCCCGGTGCATTCCGAGCAGCAGGATCGCCACCCTCACATTGCTCAGTGGGCGCCTGGCCTTGCGTCTCCCACCCCCAAATAGAGAAACGCGTCGGTTTGGCAAAAACACTACTAGTAGCAGGGGCATCGCTAGTAGTAACAAGGGCATCGCTATTTGTAGCAAGGGCGCTAGTAGGTTTCTTTGGCGCTTGGAAATGCAAATCTCTCACTGTGCTCTTCCCGACCTGGTGAAGGATTGCAGCGCTCCACTTGCTTCAAAGAGCCCGTGCACCAAATGCCAGAACCTTCTCAATGAAGAAGCACACGCGTTCAACGTCTCAGCACCCCTAAATAACCAGTATAGGAGGTCAAAGACCGGCCTGTCCCAAAAGACTCAACGCTTCGCTCGCGTTTCATGATGCCATTGCCTCAGCTGCTATGCTGGTGCACGAACAAGCCGAGCTGCCGAATCACAAAGGTCGCTGCAGCTGGAAGAGCAAGGACCCCAATTGGTCCAAGGAGTCATCTTGCAATCTGCAGGTGTAGAGCACGACCTCAAAGACAAACATCCTGTCCTTTGCCACTCCCAAAGAACTTGTTTTGCTGCGTTGCGGCTTAAATGTGGAGTAGTCTCAATGGTTAGACTATAGCAACCACTATAGAAAATGTTCTGACGCTCCAATGCAACGTTGGTCTGCAATGTGCTGCTATCAGAATCCATCAGAGACGTCTTGGGTGTCGGGCTTGAGATTGCAAATTCCTGTCTCATGAGCCTTGCCAGGTGCTGGGCACCCACAGTCGCTTGCATTCTGAAGAATGCTTCCTCAGTATAAACCGATCTTCTGGAGCAACTGGCGGAATCAGGCAATATAAAAGGCTGGACTCTCTTTCCAAGCAGCGGGTCCGGTACGTGGTACCACCATCACAGGTTGCTGAACAGCCTGCCCTTAGGAGATAGACCACATGCAGCAGAGAAATGCGAACACTGAGTAAGAACATACATCGGTCAGGTCAATCACTGAGCAACCCGCCAAACGCTCCAAGCGCCCCAAACGCCATCTCTACAGCCTCCGCCATGACCTCAAGAAATTGCCATACCAAAGGGGGGTGACTTGACAAATGCGCTAGCATGTCCGAGTGGCATGAGTGAGTGTTGCAAGCCCGCAACTCAATCTTGTCACTCGGCTCACAACCTGGAAAATGCAAAGAATCAACTCCAAAGTGCAAACACAGCCAAACCCGAATCCCAACACCTGTGCTATATAATTAAACTTATATACATGAAACGCTAATGCACGTGTGCATGAGCCCAGGACAGCCAACAGCAACATCCCAGGCGCAACAGAGCTACCGATGTGGATACAGAGGAGATAAGGATGCCAAGCTGGGTACCGGTCTTGGGTTGGGTTCTGGCCTTTGAAGCTCCTGGCTTGGCCGGCATTAGAAACAATAAGCTACTAGGAACAAGTGCATCGCTAGTAGTAACAAGTGCCTTACTAGTAGTAACAAGAAGCTATTAGAAACAATAAGTATGATGTTGTAAACTAGCACAATCAATGTTGTATGGGGATGCTGCGAGCATCAGGTTAACAGCGGGAATTGCATGGAATTGCATCAGGTCAGGCCTTTACAGTTTGACTTTTGGTGACGTGTTGGTTCAGCCGGTCGCTTGTTGTATGTAATTGTTCTCATCGTGGTTCAGAACAGAGTCATCTCACCTATGCACATTGGAACTACTCGCCGGCCACATGCCAAACAATGACAAGCGTACCACTTGAGCATTCTTATTCAACAAATGGTTTCAATGAATGGAAAAGCATTATGTGGTTTGAACACGTCCGATCTGATTGTCCACATCATCAACCACGAGTTCGGAAATTGGTCAACACCACAACCACCTGCACAAGGTGCAGCACAGAGTAGCTAGCAATATATAAGTAAATCTCAACTCGGGATGCCTGCCCAAAATTTGGCCCAAAATGTCTACACAGTGCCCTTTCAAACCAAGCTATCTGTGGCAACTTGATGCAACAAGTAGTCAGTGGAAGAACCCTTGTCGAACACAATAGCAGCAACATGTTTGTCATAGAAAACTATAGCAGAATCATAGATCTTGACGGGAAACATGCTCAGTCTGCAACTAACAATGCAATCCGAGCTGCGTCTTCCACCGGATTCTGGCATGTGCAGCACAAAGCGCTTTCGGTCTTGTTGGCCGCCCCCGCAGCTGCAGCTGCAAGGAGCCCAATCTTCCCATTCATGCCACACACAATCCTGTCGTGGACATTCCTCGGAGAAGTCGATGAAAAACATGGCATGAAGGGAGCTGAATAGTTACTGTCTGTACAGCACGGTGCTACACATTGCATCTGTACCTGAATGCTCAGCGGATCTCAGCAAGTTCTGTTTAAAGCGTATGACAGGATGGTACGTCGACGGACGTTGGGCTGAACAGCCGCCTAATTGTGTGAGAGCGTTTCCACCACGACAGCTGTTGATCTGTAAAAATCGATAAACCATGATAAATATCTGATATATATATATCTATATAAATATGATTAAATATGTGCGTGTGTGTATATAAAGGGCATAGTGTAGGTCCAAGATGCTGCTGCACCATGGCACGGCCTGGACTCTCCGAGAAAACCCTCAAAGCCACGGCCCCCCAGCGAACGTTCCTTCAACGCGGAGATTGTGTGTTCCACGCAGTGCCATCAAGTCAGACGTCCCTTCTTCATTTTGGTACAACTTGACTTTCATTCACATTCATCTCACTTTCATTCTCTACCGGACAAAAATGTATCGTACAAATTCAGTCATAACCAGTCCTTCAGAATCTTTCGCTCCCGCTTCTGCTGTCCTGGTGTTGAACTTGAAACTGGGGAAAAGCATAGTTGACAAAGCGATCGCATCGTTGCATGGACAATATGTGGTGAATGCTGGAAGCCAAAAAATATCAGGTCCGGAGTCCGGTGCTTTTGTTAAACAATATGTTTAAAACCTGCCACGAAACATGCTTTCAGTGATCCTGGTCCGCAGGTAAACGAGCACAGGCTCCACTCCGTCCATTCACTCACCTGCCGAAGTCTGCAGATTGCCACACAAAGCCCAAAACCTTTTTAAGCTGGGAAAAGTCTGCAGGCAGGCTGCCAAGGTCCCAGGCCTCTGCATTCCACATGGGGCATTCTTTTTGAACGCAACCTCTGGTCTCCATCAGGTTCGGGTCGCACTCCTGGCTTATTGCATGCCACAAACGCATGTGCTCCTGCTAGAAGGCTAAACTCCATGTCAAGATGATCCCACAAGCAGTCCTGACCACCAAACTGTGCAAACCGTTCGATTTGACGCTGGCGCCTGCAAGGCTTCCGAAAGCATAGCTGGATTATATGCTGAATGCTGGACTGCAGGATGAGCAATGCATGGCATGTAACAAGGACGCTACTAGTAACAAAGAGCATTACTACTAGGAGCAAGGACGCGACTAGGGGCTCCTAACAAGGTTGCTAGTGGGAACAAGGGGCATTGCTATGGGGAGCAAGGACGCTACTAGGGGCTCCTGGCCTTACTACCAGTAACAAGGACGCGCATGCGCCACATCACGCCACTTCCAAAGAGCACACCAGGCCTGGACTGCCCTTCTCCACATGTGCGGTCACATTCGCCCCAGCCGGTCCATTGGGACATACGGCAATCCACAGGCAACAAACCACAAGATTGTCCTGCAATTCCGGTCTTTGGTCACCAGACTCTGAACATGGCATTTGAATGAAAGGGCACTTGTGTCAACAAAGGTTGCACAGGCAAATGGTGCATAAGCACGAGGGAACATTGTACATTGTACATTGTGAAAGTACCCGTCGCGGCTGGCCAATAATAGGATGTTCAAAAAAGTAGGATTTTCAAGCCTGCTCGAATCAGGCCCCAATCTCGCTCCTTGGGTTGTTTCACCAACACATGGCTGTCCGCCATTTTCTGCTGGCTGCAGAACACCTCAAGTCTGATCAGGCAATCAGTTCGTCAGGAATCCACTGACCCCTTCCGTGTGGAAAGTGGTAGAAGTTGTGAAGCAATAGCATGCAAAAGTTGCTGTACTGAGCTCTGTGTGGTGGCTGCATATTCTGGCAGGGCTTGGTGGATGATCAGCAGGCTATGCGTTGCACGATGAGACAGGGAACCCAAAGGTGACGTGCAGACTAGATCGTGTTAGGGGTCAGTCTCTGGTGGGAATCTACTGGCACACACCACCTTTGCTTGGCACCAAGTTTAACAGTGAACGGCGGGAGCACCTGTCGGTGTCGGCTGTGGGCTAGGCTGTGGGGTGTTAAGGCCAGGCTGTGCTATGTGTCACAATATAGTTGGGTTATGCTCGTAGGAATGGACGAGTAGAAGATTCGCCCCATCAACCAAAACAACTGGTCACACGAGGCACACTCAGAATCGTTTGCTTCCAAGGGATGGGATTCTCCAACTGGCAACCGTCTACAGGGTGCAGCGACCCATTCAAGTCACAACCACTTGCTTCAGCAAAGCACTCCTGTGTCCCACCACTGATTAATCCAAAAAAACACGTTCAAAGCATCCGTCCACGCGAACACAACACAACACCAACTAGCAAGAATCTGTTCAACAACTACCATTTATATAACTAGCTTAGATACCTTGGGGAGAAAATCCCCGTGACACGTTCCCTGCGTGGCCTGGAGAAGTAAAGCTTGTACACTTGAAGGAGACGTAATGAACCAACATGTTAGCCTACAATGGAGGCTGTCTCTCAAGTAACCCCGACAAACATAGCAATATGCTCTCCAAAGCAGCACCTAATGATGGGGAAGTATGTTTGGTAATCTTTCCAACATCGTTCAGGGCTTGAACAACTCAAAACTAACAGTTACAAATTATGCCAATCATCTGGCTCACCTGGAGTGCTGGTGTCAAACCAAGCCAAGTGGCGCTTGTCTCGGTACATCATCTTGTTGACGTCACAGGTGCTCCAGTCATTCCATTCTCCAAACTTGCAGTCCACAGCATTTCCGGCTTCGCAGGCCGCGCCTTGTCGCATCTTGCCCCAGCTGTCTCGATTTGCAACATCTCAACAGTTGCATTTCCAACTTATGTGACCGGTAGAAGCAGGTACAGATTGAACTGGGGACGCTTGTCCTGACCGAAGGATATCGTCCCCACTGTGCAAACTCCGAGTCAATATAATGCGCAATGAACCCAAAACGCTAAGCCATACAACATGGACCCACGGCCGGCACGCCCGGCACGGCCCACACCTTCGCCTTTGCACTTTTCGAATTCCCTCATACTTCCATCACAGGTCATTCCGCCACGATGTGCATGAGCCTGTGGCCCATAAACCGCACAAATCGTCGAACAAATACCTTTTTGTTTTAAGTCCGGGAGGTGGGGGTAGGCCGCTAGAGGTAGCTAGTAGAAGAGGTAGCTAGTAGCACAAGTACGGCTTCTATCTATGTTAAGAAATATTCTTAAACAAGAAAGTAGACTCTATTTTTTCGGAAAAATAAACTATTTCTAGACTCGATTTTTGTCAAAAAAAATACGTGTTCTTTTCAATACGTATTAAGTTCTAATTTGAAGGGCCCTGCCACAAAGAGAAGGAAAGAGAAAGAGCGCCCCCCCTTAATGACAAACTTGACATCATCTATGACCCCTTTCCATGATACGTACGTAGAGCAAAAGCTTCAGTTTGCTTAAATCTGTTTCAAAAAATTGTCCCCAACCTGTCCTCTCGGGTGGTCTGAAATTGGTCTGAAACCCTTTAGAAGTCCCATAGCAGCCTTCAACTTTGAGCCTCCCTCCCTCCTTCCCTCCCTCCCTCCCCCACTGATGGTCATCGGAAGTTATTGGAGAACATGGAGTGGATGCATGAAGAGGAGTTTTTAATTAGGTACCACTACGGCCGCAATTAGGTACTATTGGACGCACCGAATTACGACCATAATGGTACCGAGGGAAAGCGAGCCTTCATTATCCTGTAGACCCCGTACGTATCTCACTGACAGACCCCACATGGAATGACGCGGCACAAGGGCCGCATTGTTTAATCTTGCGATCAAACATCCGCTTTAGACAATGACCCTTGGATTTCCAGGGTGCAGGTGTAAAATGACA